TTGGGGGTTTAAATGGGATTTTTTGGGGGGTTTAAATGGGATCTTTTTGGGATTTAAATGGGATTTTTGGGGCATTTTTTGGGGGGTTAAATGGGATTTTTGGGGGGTTTAAATGGGATTTTGGGGGGATTTTTTGGTTGTTAAATGGGATTTTTTGGGGTTTAAATGGGATTTTTGGGGGATTTTTTGGGGTTTAAATGGGATTTTTTGGGGATTTTTGGGGGTTTAAATGGGATTTTTTTGGGATTTTTTGGGGTTTAAATGGGATATTTTTGGGGGGGTTTAATTGGGATTTTTTGGGGCATTTTTTGGGTGTTAAATGGGATCTTTTTGTGGGAATTTTTGGGGGTTAAATTGCATTCTTTGGGGTTTAAATGGGATTTTTTTGGGTTTTATTTGGGATTTTTTGGGGTTGAAATGGGATTTTTTGGGGCATTTTTTGGGTGTTAAATGGGATTTTAAGCGGGAATTTTTGGGGGTTAAATGGGATTTTTTGGGGTTTAAATGGGATTTTTGGGGGATTTTTTGGGGTTTAAATGGGATTTTTGGGGGATTTTTTGGGGGTTTAATTGGGATTTTTTGGGGATTTTTGGGGGTTTATATGGGATTTTTGGGGGATTTTCAGGGCTTTAAATGGGATTTTTGGGGCATTTTTTGGGGGGTTAAATGGGAATTTTTGGGGGATTTTTTGAGGTTTAAATGGGATTTTTTTGGGATTTTTTGGGGGTTTAAATGGGATTTTTTAAGGATATTTTGGGAGTTTAAATGGGATTTTGGGGGGATTTTTTGGGTGTTAAATGGGATTTTTTGTGGGATTTTTGGGGGTTTAAATGGGATTTTTTGGGGGGTTTAAATGGGATTTTTTGGGGGGTTTAAATGGGATTTTTTGGGGATTTTTGGGGGTTTAAATGGGGTTTTGGGGGGATTTTTTGGGGTTTAAATGGGATTTTTTGGGGATTTTTGGGGTTTAATTGGGATTTTTTGGGTGTTCAAATGGGATTTTTGGGGGATTTTTGGGGGTTTAAATGGGATTTCTGGGGGATTTTTTGGGGTTTAAATGGGATTTTTGGGGCATTTTTGGGGGTTAAGTGGGATTTTTTGTGGGAATTTTTGGGGTTTAAATGGGATTTTTTGGGGGTTAAGTGGGATTTTTTGGGGATTTTTTGGGGTTTAAATGGGATTTTTTGGGGATTTTTGGGGGTTTAAATGGGATTTTTTGGGGGCATCTTTTGGGATTGTTGGGAATTTTTGGGAATTTTGAATTTTCTGGCAATTTTCAGGGGTTTAAATGGGATTTTTTTTGGCATTTTTTGGGTTTAAATGGGATTTTGGGGTATTTTTGGGAATTTGGGGAGGATTCTGGGGGGAAATTTCTGTGATTTTGGGGAAATTTTCGGGGGGATTTTGGGTGGAATTTTGGGAATTTGGGGCAGAATTTGGGAGGAATTTTGGGAATTTGGGGGGAATTTTGGGAATTTGGGGCAGAATTTGGGGTGGAATTTTTGGAATTTTGGGGATTTCAGGGAAATATTGGAAATTGGGATTTCGGGGGTGAATTTGGGGCAGAATTTGGGGGGAATTTTGGGAATTTGGGGTGAATTTGGGTGGAATTTTTGGAATTTTGGGGATTTCAGGGAAAT